GCCGGGTTCTGGGGGCAGTTCTTCGTTAGAAAAATGATCGCCATTCTGAGACGAGCCTCACTCATTGTGTTTGTACTCTCTGGTGTCATCTTTGCCAGTGCCATCACCATGGGTACGTAACGAAACGTTTTGAAAGTTCAATGACTAAACTTCGAGGAGCTAACTCGTGGGTTCGCTTCGTTTTGCAGGCATTGTAGGAGTATCGAAAAGTATAACGATGATACATAATCATGAGTTCATGGGGTTCTTGGATTTCTGCAGCAGCCAGTGAGAGATTCATCACACAAACAGTAAACTGTAAGAACAGAGCGAAGATTGGTGGAGGGAAAGAGGGTTTGAATTTGTTAAGCATAGAATTGGCCAACGCCTTGTTGACCAATTCAATCCCATGTTGCCTGTGATGAAAAATAATGAGGTGATTGATGACTGTTAGCTCCTCGCTGACAGCATCATCGTACCTTCCAAAGTTATTTGAATGTCTCAAAATTGTATTGTAGTGTTGTGGTTGGCTGTTCTGTTCTGTTAGCACCTCGCTGACAGCATCATCTGTTAATTGAACTTTTTATCAGTTAATGTTGTGTTCAGTATTGTTCTCCTTTTTTTTATTTTTATTATTACTATCATCATCCTCTCCTTATTTACTCATATGTTATCGAGTGAGAGAGTGAAAGATATACTTGTAAACTTAAAGTTATAATGATTGGTTACTATCTATGGATGCAAGAGAATTCCTATTCTCAAAATTACATAAATCTTGTGAGTGCAATTGATCATACTTTGGTTTCCACTACAACAAACTGTTGGATGATGAAAGTCTCACATCGGTTAATTTAGGGAATGATCATGGGTTTATAAGTGAGGAATACTAACTCCATTAGTATGAGGCCTTTTGGGAAGCCCAAAGCAAAGCCATGAGAGCTTATGCTCAAAGTGGACAATATCATACCATTCTGGAGAGTCGTGTTCGTCTAACATGATATCAGAGTCATGCCCTAAACTTAGCCGTGCCAATAGATTGGCAAATCCTCGAATGTCGAACAAAGGACTCCAAAAAACAAAAAAGGAGTCAAGCCTCCTCGAAAGTACGAAGGCAGTCAAAAATGACTAAGACTCCAAAGGAGTCGAGCCTCGATTAAGGGGAAGCGTGCTTTGTTCGAGGGGTCTTTTACTACATTCACTGTGAGATCCCACGTCAACCTCTACCAGCTGAGATCCTACATCAGCTTGGGAGGAGAACCGGGCGTGCCGGCAAGGAAGCTGAGCCCCGAAGGGGGTGGACACGAGGCAGTGTGCCAACAAAGACGCTGGATCCGCTCTCCGTTTTAAAAATTTTGAGAGGAGTGTCCTTCATTTAATACTAAATTATATTTTTAATTAAAAACTTAAAATTTAATTTATTTGAATTAATTACTTAAAATATTGTTTTTTGGTGATCAACAACATAATTAGTCCAAGGTAGTTATCGTCTAGGAACGAAACATATAAAAACAATGAAAACCTTAACGCTCAAGCTTCAACTATTCTACATATTTTAAATATTTTCATAATCTCAAAAAACATTTAATTTTTAAATATTCTAAAATAAAAATTACAATTCAAACAGGCCTTAAAGAGATTGGGCTTTTAAAAGGACCGGACTAACAAATTGGGCCACACACTGTACTAGGCCCAGTGGCATTATTGTGGTTAAATGATATTAAAGGGGTGATCAGATATACCTCAAACTATACATATCCTTTCCCTCAACAGTTTTCTATTCTAGGGTTTCGGCGACCACGAAGAAACTGAGGAGTAGCCACTGCAGCCGCCGCCATGGTGTTGAAGTCAGTCTCTATCACGCTCTTTTTGAATTTTTTGTTAAATTGATTTCATTTCGTTATCCGGATCCTTTTATTGTTATTATTATTGTTTTCTGATAATCGATGATTGCGTCGTTGTGGTGAAATAGAGCAAGAACAATGTCACTATGTGTGCTGTTTAATTAAACTTGCAGTGCCTGGAGATGTATATCCTTGAAATCTCTTGGTGTTCTGGTGAATTGAAATGTTTGTCAGTATATTTCATTGTGATCGTTGGGTTTGAAGATGCAGTGGCTCATCCAATGAGAATGTTTGTGGTGCTAGATATGCGTATTTCGTTATTGATTGATTCTGAAATATAATCCTGGTTTTGGTAGGACTGAGCTTTGTCGTTTCAGTGGCGCTAAGATATATCCCGGTAGAGGAATCAGATTTATCCGTGCTGATTCACAGGTAATAAACCTGCGTGGCCGCTGATTGAGTTGTAGTTACATTTGGATAATCTGATATATATTTTGTACTTTGATGTATACGTACCTGCGATTTTAATTTCTAACTTGGCTGGATTCATCAGGTTTTTCTGTTTGCAAACTCCAAATGTAAGAGGTACTTCCATAACAAATTGAAGCCTTCTAAGCTCACCTGGACAGCCATGTACAGGAAGCAACATAAGAAGGTAAGAAGTCAAATTTATTTCCTGGATTTATTTTCTTGTTGGGTATATTTATAGTCTATCATATCGTGTTCTGTCTGTTAGCTTTGATTTTGGACGGATAATTTTTAAACAGATTGTTTTGTCTGTGGTTCTTATAGATAATAATTATCTACTGTATTATGCCCTGTTAACCACGATTTTCACTAAATAATTGGTGAATTATTGAATCCTTCATTTCTTTTCATTCCGTAGGATATTGCTCAAGAGGCTGTTAAGAAGAGGAGGCGTACCACCAAGAAGCCCTACTCAAGGTCCATAGTGGGTGCTACATTGGAGGTTATCCAGAAGAAGAGAGCTGAGAAGCCCGAGGTTCGTGATGCTGCTAGAGAAGCAGCCCTCCGGTATGTGATTGTTCCAAGTTTATATTTTCAAATTTTCTTGATAATATTGCATGTCATCAAATCTCAAGAAAAGTAAAATGTAGACATTTATATGTTTATAACGAGGACTGAATAATTAATTGATCAGCCACATATTTTGTCTAAATTATTTTAATGTATGGAATTTGTTAATCTTTGGGCTGTAGTGAAATTAAGGAAAGAATTAAGAAAACGAAGGATGAAAAGAAGGCCAAGAAGGCAGAAGTGACGGCAAAAACACAGAAGACACAGAACAAGGCTAACGTTGGTAGGGGAGCTGCACCGAAGGGACCAAAGCTTGGTGGTGGCGGTGGCAAACGTTGAACTCTCCATGCTGCAAGCTAGGAAGAGTAGTTGTGAGCTTTTATGTTCTTTGATTATTTCCAAAATTTTGTATGGATCAATTATTTTGGCACATTTCTTCTTCCAGTTATGTTCCAAATATCAGAGTTCTTCATTTTTTTTCCTTTAATTTACATAATTATGAGTAACTTGATTACTCAAAAGGGGATTGGAAGCTCTTGGTTTTTGTGAAGTTCTTTGTTTTTATGAATTTCATTCCAAATTTTATTTGCTGCTTTACCTTTTGCGTTCATATATATAAAATCCTCCTCAACGTGTGGGTTATTATTTGCTTGCTTTTTGGATTCATTTAAAACTTTGTATTTTCGAACTTTAGGGTGTAGTAGGGTGTTTCACTCTGGTTCCCTCGTGTTCTGGAACTCCCAGGAGGTCATTACTTTTGGTTGGGGATTTCAGATTCTCATGGTAAATGTTGTGAATGCTAATAATAAACTTTTGGTTGTAGAGATGAGTTAGGTTAGGTTTGCATTTGTTTATTTGGGTTTTGAAATGCATTATTTTGATCTTGTTTAATGACCATTTAATTTTTAATTGTAGGGGCTTGAGTTTGATTCACATTTGTGTACTTTTGAGAGTGCTTGTAAAATCGAGGCCAAGAAATCTTCAAATGTCATCCGAATGGTAGTTACCAACTTCTCCAAGGATTGGTTGATCATATTTTTCCTATAAAATGGTAGATTAAGATGCCTTTCTATAGATACTATCAAGGGGTTGGAGGTTACGAACAATTGTGCTCATATCAAGGGGGTTCTTGCAAGTATCCATTGAACCAATGCTGCAACCACGTAACAATCCTGGGCCTAAAACATAAAAGGAATGAGTGGGAGCAGAAGTCAGTTTAAGAGGAAGCCTGAAAGCAATGAGTGGGAGCAGAAGAGATATTCTTTGTCCTTTTGTGTTATGAATTGCTCAATATTTCCCCACTCAAAACCCTAAAACTGTCGAAAGCGATTGATCATACGTCACCATCCTCTCTCCCTCCATTATTTGCTTCAACCTTCCTTATTTGTATATAGGGTTTTAGGTTATAAGTTCCTTTTACTTAGGTGTTCGTGACATTTTCTTAGACTCAATTTAATTGTTTGGATTATTTATTCAAATTTTTATTTTTAATAAAAGTAAAACGTTAGTTTGTATTTATTTACTCATTTTTAAATATTTTATTAAAATTTATCACTCAATTTTCATATATTTTTGAAAAATTATATTCCTATAACTTTGGAGAATAAATAATTGTTCATATCTAATCTAATCCAATTCAACTTATCCATATCTAATCCAAAATCGTTGATATGACATCAATCCATGAAACAACTATCATTTAGGGGCCTTAGCTGGTGATCCGGGTTGTTTCCCTCTCGACGACATCAAGAATCCATGAAACAACTATTAGAGAGAAGATACGACATCAAGAGATGAAGATGATGATATCAGAATATATCTCACTAAAACCATTTAGCTAATAATATGAACTAATAGCCTTACCATTTTACACAAATATTTATTATTATTATTATTATCATCATTTTGAAAATAGGCACCAATCCATGAAACCCTACAACCATGGTAATATGTAAAGTCCATAAATTTAAAAAGAAAGTCGATATAGACCTAGAATTGAGAGAAGATAAATTTGAAAAGAAAGTCGATACAGACAGAGAAGATTGAACAGACAACACCATGTGTTTGATCTTCAACACTAACAAAGTTGATACAATTTTATAACCCAAAACTAACAACAAATAACCCCTCCTGAGCAGCTACTTAAGGATAGGAAGGCAAATGAGCAGCCTCAGCACCCCACCAGAATGGAGGACCCGAACCTGATATTTTAACCAAATCTTCCACATTATTGTGTGTGTAATTGTTACAGCTCCCAATTACCCCCACCGACGTGCTTTCCACCGTCGCTTCCCCGGAGGCATCCTCGTATGCCATTGGCTCTTCATTCGACATCGTTTGTTCTCCTAGCATGCTTCTTAGCTTCAACACCTATTGCTTCCATACAACAATATTATTTAATCTAAAAGCTTAACCTAACTAACTTACTAGCTTATGTGAGACTTTTCTCTCAACAATCCTCAACAGACATCCCCTCGAACAAAGTATATCATAGAGCCTTCTCTGAGGCCTAGGAGCCCTCGGACAGCCTCCCCTTAATTGAAACTCGACGCCTTTCTTTAGAACCCTTGAACAAAATACACCATTTGTTCGACACTTGAGTCACTTTTGACTACACATTCGAGGGCTCCAACTTCTTTGTTCGACATGTGAGGATTCTATTGACATGACTAAATTAAGGACATGACTCTAATACTATGTTAGAAACCACGATTCTCCACAATGGTATGGTATTGTCCACTTTGAGCACAAATTCTCATGGCTTTGTTTTTGTAGACCATTCCTTTAATTAGCAAACGTGGAACTCCCTCCCAACAATTCTCAACAACCATAACTCAACCATATTAGCCTCGACAGAGTTTAGTGATTAAGTCATTTCTAACTCTTTTTCGGGGTCGAACATAGCTCCTCCTCCGAATGACTTAAACACTAAAAAAAATGAAAGTATAACCTAAAATTTGTAAGCAATCTTGAAAGTGAAAGGGTTTAGGGTTTAGGTATAGCATTGCATGAACAACCAAATTAAAGATGAAAATAGAGAGATGTGTGCATGAAGAACATTAAAGATGATCATAAAGAGATAGAAACCTCTTGTTGAAGGGTGTGTTTTTCCTTAGAGATGGTGTCAAATTCTTGTTTGAGGGTATGATAGAGATACTCAAGCTGCTTAGTCCTCCAGCGAGCTCTTCTATTTTGAAACCAGACAGCAATTTGCCTTGGTTGGAGGCCAAGTTCCTTTGATAGCTTCATTTTAGTATCAGGATCAAGCATCCCATCCTCTTGAAAGCATCTCTCTAACGACTCCAACTGATCCTGACTCAACCTGTTCTTCTTCTTCTTCTCATCCACTCCTCCAACCACACTTTCCACCTCCGGCTTCTTCGCCTCTAACACTGAATTAAACCAAAATTATGTTAACATTAAACTTTCCATTTGGAGTTTGGTCTTACATTGTATGAGAACTTACCAGGAAACTCATCCAAATTGTAATTGTAATTGTAGTAATAGTTGTAGGAGGTGTAGGGCGATGGAATGAGACTGCCATTATTCCACTCCATGCTTTAGATGTGTGGAAAATGGATGATATGGGTTAGTTAGAGTATTGGGTACCACACAGAAGATGAGAAGAAGAAAGGAATAATATAGCAGTGGAGGAGGAGGAGAAGAGGTTAAAAAGAAGCAAAGGGAAGGCAGGCAGGCAGGCATCTATGTTGTCAGTCAAAGCAGTGATGAGCATGCACAAGTTGATCCGAATCCTCTTTCTTTTTCTTTCTCATTTGGGTTTTGCATTTTGGTGATGATGATAGTGAAAAAGGTCATCACTACATAGTACTCCGATTATTGCAACCTGGTCACTCTTCAACCCCTATAAATGTCGAACGCGCTCCATATTCAAAACGTCCATGTAAGGTTTCCGAATTTAGAATTCAAATTCGTTACTGGATGTCTTCAGCATTCTCCTGCGACATGATCATGTTAAATATTTGTCTGATATCATCAAACAACTCCTTTCTAAAAATAAAAAAAAATTAAAAAAAGTTTTGAAATTTCTATGATTCGTCACTCAAAATTCTCAAGATCATTCTCATTCGGCTGTGATCTTCATACAACTAATACCCACTTTCTTACCATTTTTCAAAAGGCAGAAGCTTTTTGTTTTATGCAAATAGCCAGGGATCCATCAAACCCTATATTTAATTGGTAAAAGAATCCATGTTTCTTTGACAACATAGGGGTTCGTACGTTATTAATTTGTTTTTGAGGTGGTACATCGTACTTGTTAAACCATTGTAATAAGTTTTAAGACTGTTCCAATAAAAGCGCTTGTTTTTATTACAAAAGCAACGTACCAATGCATTATGACGAAGGAAAAAGTTGGAGTTTGATCCGGGAGAGGAACGTAACAGGCTCATGTTTTGGCTAAATACAAAAGTTTTATTAGAGTTAATCGTTCTAAGATGTGAGATCTCATGTCTGTTGGAGAATGGAAAGGAGCATTTCTTAAAACGGTGTGAAGACCTCTCTCTAACAAAGGCATTTTAACACCTTGAGACTAATGGCGATACGTGATAGGTCATAGCGATTTGTTAGTGGTGGGCTTGGGCTATTACAAATGGTATTAGAGCCAATCACCGGGCGGTGTGCCAGCGAGAACGCTGGTCCCCAAAGAGGGTGGATTATGAGATCCCAAATTGGTTCGAGAGAGGAACAAAACATTTCTTATAAGAGTGGAAACCTCTCTCTAATAGACACGTTTTAACACCCTGAGACTGATGGCGATACGTGATAGGTCAAAGCGATTTGGTAGCGGTGGGCTTGGGCTATTACAAATGGTATTAGAGCCAATCACCGGGCGGTGTGCCAGCGAGAACACTGGTCCCCAAAGAGGGTGGATTATGAGATCCCAAATTGTTGGAGAGAGGAACAAAACATTTCTTATTAGAGTGTGAAAACCTCTCTCTAACAGACACGTTTTAACACCCTGAGACTGATGGCGATACGTGATAGGTCAAAGTGATTTGGTAGCGGTGGGCTTGGGCTATTACAAATGGAATTAGAGCCAATCACCGAGCAGTGTGCTAGCGAGAACGCTGACCCCCAAAGAGGGTGGATTAAAATTTCTTATAAGGGTGTGGAAATTTCTCTCTAACAGATGCGTTTTAACACCCTGAGGTTGATGACGATATGTGATAGGCCAAAGCGAATAATAGCGGCCAGTGATGGATTTTGGATATTACAAAAAAAAAAAAAAGAAATGTGTCATCCAATGGTACAAAGACCCTTAGTTACTACAAATAAAAACAAAGACATGTTTGGCTTCATTTTCAACTTGGGTACAGTCTTTGTCGAGAGTAATGATATTGTCCTAATAATGAATAGCCGTTGTGTTGTATTACTGAAAAGTAGGATTAGGCATGGATCATAATTACATTTCTAACCTCACCTCACCTCTCACGAACTACGAAAAACCATTCTAATACCCCACCACTGAAGGCTGACCAATTACAAAAGCCCTTCTGTCATTGGAAAGTAACGTAACAATGCATGCATGCATGCATGAACTTTATTTCCACCCTAAATTTTCACCCACTATCAAAACCATTCAAATAAGTAGAGGCTTTTCAAATAAAAGGCCCTTCCATCGTTGGAAACCATCGTTACTATCTCTAACAATTCAACTCAACCGCTAGTCGATATCGTTACGTATCGGTCTCTTATAAGGAATGTTTCGTTTCCTTTCCCAACCGACGTGGGATCTCACAATCCACTTCTTAAAGTCCAGCATTCTTGCTGGCACACCGCACAATGTCTGCCTTTTATACCAATTGTAATGATCAAAATTCACTGTTAGCAGATATTGTCTACTTTAACTCATTACGTATCGTCCTCAATCTCACGGCTTTAAAACGTGTCTGCTAGGGAGAGGTTCCATAACCCTCCAACTATCCATCAGCTCTTATGTTTTGTATTAAAAAGAGTAGAAGATGGACTAGGTTGTTTATGATATTAGCATAAGAACCTTAAACAAAGCTTTTGTTGTGATTTGGGTTGTTCTTTTTGAAGATGGCGATGGCGATGGAGATGAGGTAGGGGGTTTGAGGGTTGAATAAGTGGGGGAGCTGCTCATGGAGGGTTCGGGGAGCTTCCGGTACGGTGCTGATATTAATGGAAAGTAACGTTACAATAATGCATTGAAATTAGATTTCTTCCGTCAAATTTCACCAACTTCAAAACCATTCCACTAAGTAAAGGCTGTCTACATTATTGGAAAGGAACGTACAATGCATTATAACTACATTTCAGGTGCTCTACCATCTTCCATCTTCCAATTTCAGGTGCCCTGCAAATATCTCAGTACTCTTTCACCACAAACATAATCATATTTTATGTGCCCCAAGATGATGTTGACAAAATTTTTCTAATGGAACATGTATTTTTGTTTCGCGTTTCTTGTTGCAGATACGTGTTCCATTTATGTGTGCATTTGGATATTTCATTTCAGTTTCATGCTCTTAAGTCTCATATCACACTATTCTATGATTATTTTTCTTTTTAACCTCAAACTTTGTTTACGTCTACCACTACATTTATCATATCATTCATGATTAACACATATTATTCGTTTTAACTCGTTACATATGATTGTCAGCGTCTAATGAAGAGAGGTTTTCACTCTTATAACAAATATTTTGTTCCCTTCTCCAAAGATTTCACAATCCACCACCTCTCTTGGGAAACCAGTGTCCTTTTTGGCACCTAATATTATTGGGTTATATAACAGCTCAGCTCAAGGCCACTGCCCACCGCTAATCTTATTTTGGGTCATGGAGCCTGTGGAGTGTTGTTATAGAGTAGTAAACATATATAGTATCTGTGAATAAATTATATATAGTATGTATTTATATCTAGTAAGAATAAACTAAAACCATATATATATCTGTTCTATTCTCTTCTATACATACTTATCAATATAATTTTTTGTCTATATTTTTTCTCGATTTTCTCTCTCATGTTCATTGGGTTCATTTAGATGAAGTGTATGTTGTTGTGTGAGTCTAACAAATCTTATATATCAACGAGGTTTCTACCGTTACAAGAAGTGTTTTGTTCCACTCTCTCAACAGATGTTGGTGTGAGAAGTAATGAAAAATGGTTAGAAAATTGATGGAAAGACTAAAAATAAGAAAGAGAAACAACATCATACACGTTCTAAACCCTACTGGAACAGATATCAATGGAAGCTGTAGAGAATATGCAACCAAACAAAAAAAGAATAAGACATTCATTTCATGGAGGTGTGTGCATTATTATTATAAGTTGATTAAAATGGGATGGTCAACAATTGGAGACTGACAAACTTATAAAGACCTCCCAAGTTCCTGGAAAGGATGGATGTCAGTCCCCTACACTCACACCACAGACTACTTATTCAATTACCATATTATATGTATCTTAAACAGAGTTATTACTATAAGTTTCTTAATCATAAGTTGTAAAATTAAAAGAACCTAAGAAAGCTAACATAATCTCCCAAGACAACGGCATTCCATTCAAAGATTTGGTTCCAAGACAACAGCATTCCATTCAAAGATTTGGTTCCAAGACAACAGCATGTGTTTGGTGGTCATCAAACACTAACAAAGCTAAACCAAAACTGATAAATTTAAGGTAATTAAGGGTAAGAAGGGCGGTGAGCATCCTCCTCAGCACCCCACCAGAATGGAGGAGGAGGACCTGAACCTGAACCTGATATTTCAACCAAATCTTCCACCTTATTATTGTACATGTAATTATTGGTACTGCTCCGAACCCCGACCGACGTGCTCTCCGCCATCTCTTCGTCCGTGTAAGCCATCGACCCTTGATGATTCCTGGTGGCTTCTTCTCTTAGCAGCAGCATGGTCCTTAGCTTCATTACCTGTTGCTTCCATCCAACAATGTTATTGTGCATGGAATATAACTAATTAAAGGAGATGAGAGAAAAAAAACATAGAAACCTCTTGTTGAAGAGTGTGTTTTTGGTTGGAGATGGTGTCAAATTCTTGCTTGAGGGTGTCATAGAGATGCTGAAGCTGCTTAGTCTTCCAGCGAGCTCTTCTATTTTGAAACCAAATTGCAATTTGCCTTGGTTGGAGCCCAAGCTCCTTTGATAGCTTCATTTTCCTGTCAGGATCAAGCTTCACTTCCTCTTGAAACCTTCTCTCTAATGACTCCAACTGATCCGGACTCAACTTGGTCTTGTTCTTGTTCTTCTGATCCACTCCTCCAACCACACTTTCCTCCGCCGGTTTCTTTGTCTCTAGCACTGATTAAACCCAATAATGTTAAACAAAGATCAAACTCATGGGTTTGTTAGTAATCGTGACTCTCCACCACAGTATGATATTGTTTTCCTTTTATCTTCCTTAAGATACCTCGTACTAATGAAAATGTATTCCTTACTTATAAAACCATGATCAAACCATGATCAAAAGTGGGATTCCCTCCCAACTATCCTCAACAATCTTCCCCTGCCCCAAGAAACAGGGTTTAGAAGCTTTTGAGCAACATTTTAAGACATGGGTTTAGGGAGAAACGTTTGGTATGATGATCCAAAATGGTTTGTAGAATGAAGAAAAATAAAAAGTAGATACAGAGTGAAAAATGAAAAAGAAAATTACCAGGAAAATGATCCAAATTGTAGGTGTAGTTGTAGTTGTAGCATGGAGTGTATGAAGATTGATGGTGTAGTAGTGGTGGAGAAAGAAGCTTAGGAGTGAGACTGCCATTATTCCACTCCATGCTTTTTTCTTCAGTTTTCTTTTACAGAGAGGAAGGGAGGAGAGGTTAAAAAGAAGTAAAAGGAAGGAAGGAAGGAAGGAAGGCAGCTGCAAGCAGGGCAGAGAAGAGCAGAGCATATATGCTGTCAGCTAAAACAGGTGCCGGCCATGGAGGGTTGGGGGAATCAGTGGATTGGTTAAGGTGCTGCAAAACACAAAGAGAGAGAAAGTGAAAACGTGAATTGGTTAAGGTTAGCAGACTAGAAGGGGAAGCCCTATTAATGACGAAAGAGATTGATCATAACATCAACCCCCCTCTCTCTCTCCCAATGTACGACGCTCCGTCAGTCACAATGGGACTCACAAAACCCTAACAAACCACTCATCAATGGCAATGCAAGTAGCTAGTTTAATTTTGACTACCAATGGTCACCAAATATGTGACTCCTACTCTAACCCCCAAGTCCACTACTAGTGGCTTCTTATGTATCACCGTTAACTTTAGAGTTTTAAAAGCGTCTGTTATGTTATGAGGAGGGTCTAGCCCAAATCCGACCACTGCAACGCACCATCTGATGATTAGCTTTGATACCATTTGTAACAGCTCAAGCCTACTGCTAGCATATATTTTCAGCTTTGGCCTAATACATATCGCCGCCACTCCCTCGATTTTAAAATGGTATGTTAAGGAGAGGTTTTAAACCCTTACTTGCAAGGAATTGCTCCGTTGTCCTCTCCAACTAATGTGAGAACTCACCCTCCACCTTCCTTTAAGGTCAAAGAGAATAATATTAGCGGTGAATTTGAATTGTTACAGGTAATTGATTGTTTTGGTAGAATGAGATGCATTGAAACGCATTAAGTGATTGGTAGGTTAGATATGAGTTAGTATTGGATTGTAAGGATGAATTAGAATTGAACTGATTGAAATTAATTGTCGAAAGTACGATACATGATTGGAGTATGCATGTATGCCTAATTATGATGATTAATGAAATATCAGGTAAAATTAGGCAAGTTATAAGCATGCTAGGTGATGCAGTTATACAATTTACTATACCCTTATTATCCATGATTTACAATTTTTGATATGATTATGTGCCTAGGTCGGCATAGTTAAGGACTTGTTAGCTTATTCTGAACTGTGGACCATCAAGACAAGGCCCACTTAAAATTTTAGTGATTGATATATGAAATGACATGAGTATGTTCCTATGTAGGGATGACGAGAAATTTACTACCTTACCCTCAAGCGTGAACTGTCAAGATAGGGTCCACATAGTGCGTTAGTGAATCGTGATATGTAAGATAATGTGATAATTTTCAATAAGAGGGTCGTGCCCTAGATGTCAAGTATGCGAGTGGTTTGAAAATTATCTACTGGAAAAAGTACAAAGCTAACTATAATATGCTAAAAATTCGAGCAACCCTAATGAGAACGATGAGCTCCAATGAATTAGACTATAAGAAACAATAAGTTCCAAGGAGCTAAATTATGAGAGACCTTATTTAAGTGGTAGAGTACGAAGAACTACAAGCTCTCAGGAATGATCAGGAGTTAGGCTATGGGTAATGATGAACTTAGAGGAGATAGATTCTCTAGGATGAGCTTTAGATGCTATGTTCAAAAACTCCTTGACCTCGATATTTAGCACTTAGGTATGACATAAGACTTAGGTGCATATAAGTTAAGACTTATGAATGATTAACGAATAACCAAAGAAGAACGAGATTAGATTTGAGAAAGAAAAGTAGGAGGACCAACCTCCAAGGTTGGGTTGAGTAAAAGAAATAGTGCTTAGAAAAGAGAGTTGGAATAGAGTGTAAGAGTGAGTGGTCCATTTATGAACAACAGAGAAGCTGTGATGGAGAAGACAGTGTATGTAAAGCAAGTTTAAAACCTAAAAGGAAGGAGCAAATGAGATACAACTAACTATGTGAATTGATTGCTGAATGGTACGAGAATTAAGACAAAATTAAGAGAGGTTGAGATTACTTCACCCACAAGAGATGCACTGTGGGGATGTCTGTGCGCAGGCGGCGCTGTAGGTGGACTGAATTTATAACTCCATAAAGCAAGCACCAGCACCAGCACCAGCACCAGCACCAGCACCACACCAGCACCAGCACCTCACCTGGTCCACCAGTCCACCGCCCTACTCCTGCTACTCCTGCTTCACCACATTCTCTCTCTCTCTAAACATTTCTACCACACCGATACAAAAAGTTTATCAGTCAATATATGCTCGTCGTGCCTTTCAAATCCTTATTCATTTGTTTCTCAATATTATTTTGTTAAGTTCATTATCATCAACTTATATCTATTACGACTGGAGAAGAGATTTGTGTTAAAATGAGTAATTTAAATCCTTGATTAGGTGGGATTCACAAACATTATACAACAATTATCCTTTCTCTCTCTAAACTAATCAAACCAAATCCAATTCAATCAATTAACATTATCTTAGTTTTAAAAGTCCATTAAAAAAACAATCAAGGTGCATTTTAATTATTTTAGCATAACTATGTTTCTCTTACAATTCTAAATCATTTTCGAATGGTAAACATCAAAGTAAACATTACCATTTATTGGTTGTTATTGGTATGTAGTAAAAATAAAATAAAAAATAAAAAAATATATATAAACTATTACTCAATTTTATATGCGCATGCGCCATTTATTAATTTCATTTGAATATAGTCATTGGTCTGTATGATTCTTATGGTCCCTTACTAATTACTACTGTAAATGTCAGACATGACCCTTAAAGCTTATAAATGACTTGCAATAAGAAAAAGGTATATAAATGACTTACAGTCAACTGGTGACTTCATTGCTTAGGTCGGGTCTTCAACAACTGTTCTACAATATGATTTCAAAGAGAATGGCACAGATTTTTCTATAGCAACATGAAAATCTCAAAACTACAAAGAAAGAACAATTCAGTGCATGATCAAGAAATGAAACTACCCGGAAATCATGAATTGGGCATTGGTTGAACAAGTTGTGAATAAATTAAGATTTGCCATGTACACCATGGCTTCTAAATTTGGGAAAGTTAACAATGTTTTCTTGAGTCATTTTACATTTTCTCACTTATCAGATCTCCTCAATCTCCAACAAAACCATGTATTAATTCATGATTATACCTCATGGTGGTGGATAGCACCAAGAAAACGGTCACTTCAAAAAATTAGCAGAAAAAAATTATCTGGAAAGGTCATTTCAATCTTCAAGCTCGATAATCTTTACCACAGATGCATCCCCAACCTTCTGACAAACAACAACTCGGTCATGCGACTTAATTACTCCATATGCTTTCCCATGATCCAGAGCAACCTTTAGAACTGACTCATTTGTTGCGCTAGTAGACTCCGCCTACCACCAAGCCATAAATACAATGGGAAACCATAAATCAGTTGGAAGTCCATTGTTAATATGCATTGCAGTACACATGGGAAAATTTCCCTGTACACAAAGTTCGTGATAAAATAAATGCACATTTCTCACGTCTATATGATTATTTATCATGCAAGTCCATAATAAATGTAGCCATTCATTCATTCTCAACAAAGGGCCCCCCCCTCATTTATTGGTGACTTCAAACCTTTTCTAGAGGTTTTGTTCCATTGTATATCCTACATTGTACGTGCACATGCTCCTTTTCTGGTGTCAAGTGAAGGGCCCGGAAAATCGCAATTAATTTTGTTCAAAAGCAAAACAGGTATAGACCAACAATCAAATCCTTGTGAATAATTTCGAAGCTAAATGCATCTACTTTTACCAGTCTGACCTTATTAAAGGATCACAAATGAGAAAGCAGATTCAGATATAAAACTAAAAGCACCATTTACATTATCCATCATGTAGAATAAATGGAAAACGGAACTTACAGGATGTCGTGGATCAGCAAGCATAGGGAAGAGGCCTCTTACTATCAAAGACTGCCTAGCCTGAAATAGACCAATACCAAATAACACCACCAAAAATAGAAATTACCAATTTAAGTAGTTAAAACAACAGATCCAAAATTTTGCCATTTTGGGAAATGTTCGAAATCAATGACATGAAGTGCAGATAATAACAGATGATAGTTAATCTGATGTCATTCAGTTAGGTCTATACAAATACACGACTTCATATTGCGCGTTAATACTTACCTTAAAACAAAAGAGAGAATTATACAATCCCTTCTACACATGCCTAAAGTATGGATAACGAATATCCAACAACTATGTAGAACAATTGATACACAAGCTAATCCAAGACATGAAAGCAGAAACTATATGCCGTACATATCATAATTATTTTAATCGCCTTTGAACATAAACTTTGCCGGGATGAATCTGAGACAGTATATCAATTCTAATACATAGTCAATAAGTTCGAAATTATGTCTACCGCTTCCTCTTCAGTATTCTGATAATTGTTTTTGAAATGCACAAGAAAAAGAGGCCACAATAGCAAGACAGAACTGAACAGTTCACCGACTAGTAGTTAGAACTGAGGTAAAATGCATAAAAAGGCTCCCTAACTAAATCCTCAACCACCCCAAGCGCGGGAAATTTTTATTTGTTAAAATATGTGTACGAATCACTTAATGAGATGACAGCTGTGGGAAACAACGGCACAAAATGATACAAGGCATACCTCAAATGCTCCAGTAAAGCTCCACCTTAACTGATTTGTCTTCAGCCTAGGAATGACAACAGATATAACCGGCATTGTGGGCCTATATTTAGCAATTAATCTGCATATTTGTATAGCAAGTTTAGATCTCTTAAATAATTGGCTACAAAAATTTTAAAAGAACTTCAGTTTGTTTGGAGACCAACACTGGACTCCCAAACTCTGATACCTTGCAGCTCTTCCAGATGAAGTGAAGCAAATAATAACTGAAGCCTTCACCTTAATGGCAGCCCTGACCTAAAAACAGAATAAACCCATTGCATATGAAAACCATGGTAGAACTATAACAATATAAAAAGATCATTGCTAAATCCATTGAAAATAATATGTACAATAACCAGAATTATAAGTCAATACCGCTGAGGAGGCAATGGATTCCAAGTGTGTCATAGGTTCCCCAACAAATTTGACAGTTTTCTTGAAGTACAAGTCTTGATTGAACACCTTATCAGACTGCATTTTTTTGGAAACGAGAGCACCCAGGGAGCAAGAAAGTATAAATACTTTGAAAGAGAAAAAATAAATAAAAATTATACAGATGATGATAAATCCACAAATCCTTCAAGTTCACAATAATGACTCTCTTAGTTCATCCATTAGGCCTAGCAGAGAGCGGTCAAAATTCACATGCATCTTTCTCCAAAAAATTTTAAAATGTTGACTAAATTGCAGGGTATAAACATCAAGAACAAAAATACAAAAGCTGAAGAGAACAAGTACCATATAGATCTCCAATTATTACGTGTTTTTTACCTCAGCACAAATCCTACCAACAGTAGAAATAGTCTCTACTGGATACAGTCCACGCAAAGTCTCAGCCCCCAGAAGAATTGCATCACTCCCTGTATCCGTGTGAATAGTGTTAATGTTATGGAACTTCAATGAAATCATTCATGTCAAAAGATATTACAAAGAACCACTAAGATCACACAAACTCTTTAAATAGTTTGAATTCATAAATAAAATTGGCATCCCTTAAATAGGTTACAAATAACCAACACTGGTATTTGTATTCCTATTGTCTAACATTCTGTCCACATTTCTAATATTTCTCGACATTTAATCAACATTTTTACATTATTTTGGGAAAATAAAAATTTTCCCCTCATATTGATGACAAATCCTTTGATCCAAGAAAATGTTGACAAGTAAATGGAAACTTAACTACATAGAAATAATTAATATAAGCCAAATAAAATAGAAGTTAAAAATGAAAGAAAGAGGGAGAAAGAGAGTAATTGAGAACCAAATTTCAAAGAGTTCACCCGTATTTTAGGCTGTAAACCAACGATTTCAGGACAAGGATAAATATCATAAAAACTAAACATGGTATACTTTTCATGTATGACTTACCATCAAGGACCGCATTTGCAACATCAGTAGCTTCTGCACGAGTAGGTCTTAAATTGTTGGTCATACTGTCCACAACACGAGTAACCACAGCAGGCTTTCCAGCCATGTTACACTTGTAAAGTGCAGCTTTCTGAAATAAAAACACCTGCAACATATGGAGAAGTGATCAGAAAGAAGTCTATCATAAATAATAGATCCTTAAGATCACAAGTGAGAGAAAAATAAAGATCGGATCAAGACCATCAATAAGTGAACAGGATTTATGAGGAGAA